GCATGCACTCCAATGCCATGTTGCTTCTGCTTTCTCATTGCAATTTACTAGCATCAGCATCAGAGGTCTCCGTTTTGTATATTCCTGTTAAGTAATTCTCCATGATCTGCAGCTTTACACCTTCAATGGACAACATGTAGTTGATGCACAAAAAATTGGTAAGTCAAAATTTATGATGATATATGTAACCTTGTTTGAAGGCATCTATCTGATAAGATTATTCTTATTGCGCAGACTGTGGTTCCAAGTGTGCGTACCGCTGCAGCAAGTCAAGTAGGCCGAATTTGTGCAACAGGGCGTGCAACACATGCTGTAGCCGCTGTAACTGCGTTCCACCGGGCACCGACGGCAACAGGGAAGTCTGTCCTTGCTATGCTAACATGAAAACCCATGGCGGTCGTCCCAAGTGCCCGTAGAAGACATGCTATCTATCATGCTTTAGTTACATTGACTTTCCAGTCTTGCTATGAGAATGTCTTTTATCTTAACAATTGACAATAAATGAAATGGTGTTACGGAGCATCTGTGTTCTTGAGAAACAGTTTACACAGCACTCCTGTGCTAATGATACGAGCTTTTGCTGTTTGTGTTTTGGATACTGGAATTAATAAATGCTAGGTGAAGTCACATCGGTAGGGTCGTAAAGTGAAAGCCAGTGCATAGTTGGGTATTAGCATGCATGGAACTAAATGACTATGTAATAATGCTGTAATAAATTATTCGATACATTCTCGACGACAGATTAGCGTTAAAGTGCTGTGTAAACTTTTCTGCATGAACACAAATGCTGCATTGCTGAAAGATCAAAGGAGATGTTGAAACAGCGAACAACATATCAAAACCTTTAGAAAGTGTCGGATGAGTGATTGATGAGTCAAGGTTTTTACTGAAATCATTTTAGATCAATTTAAAATGATATATGGTTAAAATTGAAGTCAGTTAAAATTGAGCCTATTAAAAGATCAAATAGGTGATCTAAAACAATTATGGATAGTAGTAGGCTCAAATGGTGATATTGCTCGAGTCAACTGATAAGCAATATTTGTATTTCATTAATTTTTGCTTAAGGCAGAAGATAAAATGTGTTTGAGATGCATGAGTTAAAAAAACCTGATCCGTGTGAAGAAAAATATGTCATGATAAAGGTACAAGACCAAATGTACTGGAGATGCATATCGAGAAAATTTAACTCATGTAAAGAAAAACTTGTCACAACAGAGACACATCACAACGGAGACACAAAACAAAATGTGTCCGAGACATGTGAGCTAGAAAAGTTTGACTCGCATAAAGAGATGTAGATGAATTAGAGTAGGTGAAGATTTCTCAAAGATGTATAACGATCTATCTAATGATCTTCTTGTATCAAAAACACATATAGTGAGTGGAGACTCAAAAATCTACACCAATCATCGTGTGAGTTTCTTGTTCTATAAAGGAAACCTATGTTTTCTCCAACCTTCTCCCATTTTGTTTTTCTTATTATTTTTTATCTTGCATCATAAGTTAGGATTAGAATTTATTTATTTAAATCTTGACACGTGTGGGACCATCCCAATAATAACATCTCTGCTAGGAAAAATCCCATGCAACATATTCCAAGATTTCCCTTTTCCCATCCAAGTTTATTATGTATAAATATATTAATATATTACCAAAAAGGAAACAACAAGTCTACAACTGAACCTGCTCTATGGTGTGAGAAAAGATGCGACGACACCGTTCAAGTAGAAGCTCAGCAGCAACAGAATAGCTTCGGACTCGATGGAGAATACTTTTCTACTCATGTCGACCCAACTTCTGCTGCGCGATGCTTAGCCACACCTTACAAATCCTAATGGATAAACACTTGAACATAGGACTTATTCCTCTCTCTGTATCTTTTTGTTATACATACTTGACCCGTAAAAAGGGAACCACAGAAGCCAGCGATTGGGAACAGATCACAATGTCATTTCACACAAAATATAAATAGAGTTTCCTCCCTCCCACAACTTTGGATTTCATCTAACCATGTCAAACAAACATTTGCATGTTGTCCTCTAATTTCAGGTTGACAACATTATTGAGAAAAAAACAAAAAACAAAAAAAGTTCAGAACACTTTCCTGTGACATTAACCATCGGTCCCAAATCTCTGAGCATCATCTGCTAATCAACTAGTCTTTGTGTATATGTGAGAAAGTGCTCGCCAACCTATATCCCGTCGAAAGAACCCCTCAGGCCAGTCGATTACTTCAGATGCTTTGTAAGCTTTATCTCTGGCTTCTGCTAAATCCTTTCCTTTTGCAGTGACGCCAAGCACACGCCCACCGTTGGCAATGAAGTTGCCCTCTGAGTCTAGTGCTGTTCCTGCATGAAATATCTTAACCATTGGGCCAATAAGCTCAGCCTCTTCAAGATTTTTAATGATGGTTCCCTTCTCATAAGACCCTGGATAACCATTGCTTGCCATCACAATTACCATAGCTGATCCAGGTGACCAACTAAGTGACACCCCACCCAGCTCTCCTCGACAAGCAGCAAGCAGTACTTGTGCCAGGTCGGACTCCAAACGCATCATGAGAACCTATCCAAGAAATTCCATCAAGGAGGCTTTTAGTAATTTAAGAATATCCAGGTAGATTTAAAGAATGTCACTAACACGATTTTGCTGTAGTAAAACACCATTAGTGAGGAAGAGGCTGGAATCTAACTTCTACATCAACAACTAATTCAATCTGAAAACATATAAATGCAATATCAGCCAGGAAAGCTCACCGGAACAAAATGAAAAAAAAAAAATTGAAGAGACTTATTCATTTTAGGAATCTATATAATATCCCAATTACTACTCATAATTAAGCTTGGGAACATCAAGTTTTATAGTGCACAAAAGTTGTATCTAATTGATACGAACGATTTTGCCTCATGCCAACTCATCTGTTACTGAGACCGACACCTAAATAGGGCTCTAAGTCACCAACCCCGAAATAACGCCGCAATGCGTCCCGATGTGTCCCGCATCAATGACTGTCAATAACCGCCCTACCTTATCGAGATCAGAGATTAGACTTATCCCAGGCTATGTGCTCTTTAGCCATGCACATCGACATGGAGACCCGAGGGCTACACCTAGGCTGAGCCTACGCGTTCCCTAGCCGTGCACCTCAGCGAGAAGCCCCAAGGGCTGCACCTTGGCTGAGCCTACGCGCTCTCTAGCCATGCACCTCAGCAAGAAGCCCCAAAGGCTGTGCCTAGGTCGAGCCTACGCACTCCCTAGCTGAGCACCTCGGTATAAAGACCCAAGGGTGGCACCTCGGATAAGTAAAAGTTAAAAAGGACTCACTTCCGAGCCATGCACCTCGGCGTGAAACCCCGAGGGCTACACCTAGATCGAGCCTATGCGCTCCCTAGCCGTGCATCTCGGCATGAAGACCCGAGGGCTGCACTTAGGTTGAGCCTACACGCTCCCTAACCATGCACCTCGGCATGAAGACCCGAGACCTACACATCGAATGAGTAAGAGTTAAAAAAGACTCGCTCTCGAGCCATGCACCTCGGCGTGAAATCTCGAGGGCTACACCTCGGCCGAGCCTACGCACTCCCTAGTTGTGCACTTCGACATGAAGACCCAGGGGATGCACCTTGGCTGAGCTTACACGCTCCCTAGTCGTGCACTCAGCATAAAGACCCTAGGACAGTACCACGGTCCGATCGATGCGCTCTCGACACGCCAGCCAATAGACTTCTATCAAAGCACGCACCCAACAGAAGAGCATGCAAGTGCGCCCTCCGGAGAAAGGCCCTGAAGGGCGCCCTTTCAACGGGGGGCAAATGATAGGGACGATTTTTCCCCATGCCAGCTCATTTGCCATCGAGGCCAACACCTAAGCAGGGCTCCAAGTCACCAGCCCCAAAAAAGCACCGTAGTGCGTCCCAATATGCCCCGCATCAATGATTGACAATAATCGTCCAATCTTATCAAGATCAGAGACCAGAATAATCATGCTGTTAACCTGATCTTATCCTACGACAGCTAGTAAAAAAGCTCAGGGATCAGGTATAAAAAGGAATCCATTAACTCACGTTGAGGGAGAGGCTCTCTCTCTCTCTCTACTCTCTCATTTACACAGATGATATTGTTGTCTTCTCCCCTTCGTTAACTTAAGCATCGGAGGGGTCGCGCTGGGCAACCCTCGGCGCCGGCCTATTATGCAGGATAGCCAGCCGGCCCAAGGACACCTGGACGACCCAGCCCCAAGGAGGAACCTTGCAACTAGAAAGATCCCAGTCCGCCTACCCGGCCACCCCGAACCGGGTCCTCACCGATAGAATGGCTTCCAACCGAGCAACTTATATGATCTCACCTCACCAAGTCTTCCACATCAGTCAGGAAGAGGCACCTGGATGAGCCTGCACCTTCGGCAGTGGACCAACCGTGCTGACTCATCAGTCGACGGTACTCATGACACCATCACTAATAAATCACAATCAAAACATTTGTAGATACTTAAATAACATATTTAACAAATTGTAATCTTTGGAAGACATGGGACTAGAACAATATAACATAGCTAACAAAACGCATGCTGCATGAGCATGATACCATATATCCAAATAATGAAACTAGAAATACTTCAGAAAATTTCCAGCAGCTACGAACCTGACACTCTGGGTCTCCAAAACGCACATTGTACTCAATAAGCTTGGGCAAACCACTTTTCTTCTCAATCATAATCCCAGCATACAGCACCCCAACAAATTTGCAACCTTCTGCTGCCATTCCCTTCACTGTAGGATGAATTATTGATTCCATCACCAAAAACTGTAGCTCACTTGTTAAGACTGGAGCAGGGGAATATGCACCCATTCCACCCGTATTTGGACCAGTATCACCATCACCAACTCTTTTGTGATCTTGGGCTGACTCAAGAGGTAAGGCAGTTTCACCATCCACTAGAGCAAAGAAAGAAGCTTCTTCGCCCTCGAGGTATTCCTCAATAATAATTCGTGAACCAGCAGAACCAAAAGTATTGGCCACCAACATAGAGTCTATTGCATCAAATGCCTCTTGTATGTTCATTGCCACAATAACTCCCTTCCCAGCAGCCAATCCATCAGCCTTAACAACAATGGGTGTTCCTTGCTCTTTAACATACTCTTTAGCTTCCAATGGATCTGCAAAGGTCTTGTACTGCAAACAAACCAAGCAACATTGATAATGTGTAGCTAAAAATAAGCACATTATCAATAATCCATCTTAATCCAAGAAAGACAGTATTTAAAAGTTAAGAAAGAGCAATAACATTGAAAATGAACTTAACACAGATATATGATTATGAAAATTACCCATTGTCTCCATCAAAATGGAACTCTGAAAGAAAGAAAGAAAAAAAATTAAAATATGGTAGAATAACTTGGGAGCATGAGGTGATACTCTAGAAAAGGTTATCCGCTGTCTATGATAGTATGAAGAATAAGCATTCTGCAGGATTTCTTATGAATGAAACATTTCATTTCTAGCATAGTCATCAGCACTCTAACATGCACAAAACTCCCCAAAGCTTGGACATTCATATATATGCAACAGCTATGTACACATGCATATAGATGAATATAGAGAGAGAGAGTTGTGATAGAATCCCAATAGGAGGATTAAGATCTCGATCCTCAAGATCAATCATCAGATTCAATTTGAAAACCAACTTCATTGAACATGATATAGAACATTTAAAAATGATAGAGACATGAAATTTCATGCTTTGAAGTATTCTCATGCACCAAGTGGAAAGAAAAATAAGTAATTTTACAGTATAGGTATATATTAATTTGATTAAAAATAAAGAAGTAAAAAACAGTTGGTTTTTGTTTGCAGTCATCTAATAATATTTAGATCAAGGTCAACCGTTCATAATTTCATCAAGAGATGCTCACTTTGGGTTATTTGATAAACACAAAATATATACAAATCAAATGAATTTTGGTTTCTAAATTGTTATGTGTTATATATAATGTTCAACAGATCTAGTCAATATGGGGCTGCCATGATGGATTTTAAAGTGATAGCATTACGTGAGTATTAAGGATTCAATCGTCTTAAGAGGACTCAAGATCAACTATATATAACTTGGTAACATTTTTATCTATTAGTAAAAATGGTTATCATTTTTCACGAGACATTACACCATTAGACAGGGAAATGGTATTCAAAATCTAAGTAAATATTAACCTTTGCAGTGGGTATTCCATATTTGTCACACAACTTCTTTGTGAAGTCTTTCGACCCCTCCAGTGCTGCAGCCGCAGCTGAAGGGCCAAAAGTTGGGATTCCAGCCTTTGTAAGATCATCCACAAGTCCAGCCACAAGAGGAGCTTCTGGGCCCACCACAACTAGCTCAACTCCCCTTGTATGGCAACATGAAATCACAGCCACATTGTCCAAGATGTTTAAGTCTGATATGCAAGTAGCATCCCCAGAGTGAGCAATCCCTGCATTACCAGGGGCACAAAAGACTTCACCACAGGATGGAGATCGCTTCAAGGCATAGCAAAGAGAATGTTCTCTTCCACCACCGCCAATAACCAATACAACCAGCCTCCTTTCTGCAATAAAACATAAAGTACATAAATTGGAAATAAATATTGCAATAAATTTTTTATCCCTAATGTGCTTGCATGTATTTGTAATATAATTTATGTCCAGAACATGTCCATAAAAGCATCTCAGCTGTTAAAAACATGAATAGGAATGCAAGCAGATGAAAGAATGTTAAATTCCTTTTTCTTCAGAAAATAGATTCACTTTGCTTCGGTCACAGGTTTGTTATCCTAAGTTTACAATTTCATCTTGAAGTTTCAGATTTCGCACATGGCACTTGCATTATAAATACTGACTGCATTGTCATGGTTTTAGTAAAAACATAATTTCTCTTAGTTCTCAAAGAAGAACAAGCATTAACAGATAGCTTATCTGTTTGCATTTCGATATGCATAATATTGGATGCATTTTTGGATATATAAAAGTCCATTTCCATGCATCTGGTCTTCCTGCTCATTCGAATATACACTGCATGATAATCAGGTCAAGTGGAAATAAAATTTTCCATTTAATGCTTTGCACAGTGTGTTCGCATTAGCAGGAGCTCCCATTTTTTCAATGCTTGGGACCTTTAACCTAAGAAGCACATACACGGACACGAGACACAAACATGACATGACATGAAAACGACAACAAATCATTCAAAATAAATTAGGATACGAACACGACGAGGACACACACACACACACACACACACACACACACACACATATATATATATATGTATATATATATATATATGTATGTATATATATATATATGTATGTATATATATATATATATGTATGTATATATATATATATATGTATGTATATATATATATATATATATATAATATTTTATTTACATGAGCTTTATATATTACCCAAATTATTATATTTTACAATTTATTCAAATTATTATAAAAATTACAGTTTATTCAATTAACAGATTATTCAAATTATTATAGCAATTTAATCAGGGATTCAGAATCAGTAAAAAATCAGATTAAAAGAATAAAAAATGAAATATGCCAATAATATGTTAACAGTTTAATCAGAAGCAATAAACATCCCAGATTAAATAAAACAAAAAGAATAAATAATAATAATATGTTAAAAATGTTTTTGATGGTAAAAAAAGCTAAACATTAGTATACGGTATACCTTCGGCTTGCGATGCCGCATGGTTGAGGAAGAGACTCTACAAAGGGATGATGACAATGTGCGACTCTGCCTCTACAGAGAAGCACTCGGAGCAGATGGTCTAACAGTGCACTGCACGACCCTGCCTCTACAGAGGGGCTCTCAAGGCGGATGGTCAAATGGCAATGCGCAACTCCGCCTCTGCAGAGGGGCACTTGGGGTAGATGGTCCAACGACAGTGCACAACTCTACCTCTACATAGGGGCGCTTAGGGCGGATGGCCCCATGACGCACGACGACAGAGCGTGACTCTACAGAGGGGCACTAGGGGCAGATGGTCTGACAATGCACAACGGCAACAAAGGGAAGCCAAGCTGATTTGGAAGGGAAGCCCATGACGTACTAGGGTTCGATCAGGACAAGTGGTATTTAATGTCGAGATTCTCCTTGAATCCGTGAGAAAGGATTCTAGAGGTTCCTGACACCTCCGCACATGACCACCAAGTCTGACACGCAAATAGCATATCCGACGAATTAAAAAAATAAAAATAAAAAAGACACATGTCTGACACATGTTCGATCATGTCAAAGACGAATTCATGTCCGACGCACCCAAATCACTGTATCTGTGCTTCCCAACCTTTAACTACTAAATTCCAAAAATCTTATTAATTGCTGCTGCCATTTTCTAAAAAAATGTGAATAACAACTCTTGATTACTCAACAAGCAATCCTCATCTAAAGGCATACTAGTTTCTTATATTCATCAACAACAACCAAATACACAAATTACGAAAGCATACAGAAGTTTGATGTTGCTTTGCGAGATATTCATGGTGATGATGAAGCCACATGTTTATTTTCTACAACGGGTTTTAAGAGGCAATTCTCCAGAAATTTTTTCTCATTTTTAAAAATAAAATAGACTAATAAGTATTGTAGCTTCCTTAAAAACATACCCAATTTCCTGTATAAATGTCAATACTATTATTGTTAAATAGATAATAGATGCACTTCCTGCATCATATATTAACATGTTCAAAGTCTTAAATCAATTTTCTTGTTGCAGCATAAACACCAACATTATTGGTGTTTATGGTAGTGATATTACCTGAAGAATTTGCATCGCCATTATTATTGGTAGTCAATATGGATTGCCCTGGATCTGAATTGGAACAAGTAGGAGCCCTCAAAACCCTTCGAAATGAGCTCAAAGACGAGGACAGGAAAGGCCCCTTAGTTCTAAATGATGAAAGTGAAAATGTGTTCCATGTACGAAAGTCTTCCAAAGAGAGATTATTTTTCAAGCTTCCTTGGATGTGATTCTTAAGAGATACCTTGAATGCTTCTCTGTTCAATAAGTTAAAAGAGCTTCCAGCATTACATGCAATGGAAGCCATAAAATGACTGCAAAAATCAAATGAATCAGATTATGGACATATTAAAATGGATTTTGAACTATAACAATGGAGAAATAAATACATCTTTCTCATTCAATATTTAACATGAGATAAAGGCGACCTCAAACAACATGTGATAGAGAACAAGAAACAAAGGTTGCTACAATATGCACCACACTCTACTCTCCACCCTCCTTTAAAAAATTGAGCTCCATTCTGTGAGTTAATACCACCTCATATCAGATAATAAAACCCAGTTCAGAAATCGAACTACTTGAAATCTTATGAATATTATATTTGTTAGCAAAACAAAGATCCATACCTGCCTAAACTTTTGCAAGATGTATGCTCTCCGATACTGAGTTCGACAATACAATCCAAAACTAAACAACATGTTTTACTTCTTTCATCCAGATAAATCAGGAGCTCCTAGAAATCGAGGTTTAAGCCTCAAACGTTACGTTAAGTAACCAAATCTCCCATAGTAATAAGAACCCAGAATAAAACAAACAAACAGAAACTATTATTACCATTTGAGTGACCTAAAGTTTAAAAAGAAGCACTCGATCGATTTATTTCCCTCCCTCATACCTACTCTTTCTCTAAAACCCTAAACCCAACAGGCAAGCTACAAATTCCCAGCCGGAGCCATTCATCAACCCAATCAGATAACAAGGAGAAAGAAAACAAGAAAGCGTGACTTCATCTCATCTCTTACCTTATGCCCCGGAGCAAGAAGGAACACCAAGAGACGACGATAAGAAGGAAAGATGCGCTTTATCGCCTTGAAAAAGAGCCGCTCGCGTCGGATTGCTTTCTCCCGGGGGGTCTCCCCCGAGTCAAGTACCAGGTAAACGCCCCTTTAACCCGAGCCTGGCGGTGACCTGCGTGTGCTGCACTACTTGGAAAGCGAACAGGTCGAACCTCCAAATGATAGCCGATGCAAGACTTCAAAGAACGGAATCAGACAAAAAAGATAAAGCAGAACAAACAAAAGAGCTCATTTCTACGAATCCCAGTGACAATCCCTACGAAAATAATGAAAGATATTACTATTTACAATCCCACTTTCTTATTTTATCATTTTATTTTATAAATTTAAATATTTTTAAAATAAATATTTTTTTTTCTTTTTTATCCTTCCCCAACCACCCCCCCCCCCCTTCTCCTCCTCCTCCTCCTTCTCCTCCTTTTCTTCCTTATCTTTCTACTTAGTGATAATGAGCGGGATTGGACAACATCGAATGATATCAAAGTGTGAACTGATAGAGCATGGGTCTGGAGAGACGATGGATAATAGGAAGCGTGGGCCAGGGGAGCATTAACGACAAGGAGCATAGGTTATGGGAGCAACAATAGTAGGGAGCGCGGGCTAGGGAGCAACGCCCAACGATAAGCGTGAGCTTGAGGGTGGTAAGGAACGTGGGCTAGGCGAGCATCGACAGAGCGATAGGGTGTGTATGTGGTGATCGTAGAGGTTATTGAAAGAAAAAAAGAATAAAATCAAAATTACTAGGACAGTAAATAGTGAAATATTATTTAATATTTTTTTATTTATATTCCTTAATTATCAATCATATCCTTATTTCCACGGCCTTTTATTTCACCAGTGGAATCCTAGATGCGTTGATGTCACTCTTCGTCGGTTCGTCATAGACGTTGCTTACCACTCATCACTCAATAGGTGGATTTTGTTCATAACTTTTTTATTATCGGCTGTAAGAGGTGGATTTTTTATGTATAATATACTTATACAAGTTTTCATCAAATTTGACATAATACTATGAAACATTGTAAACTATTGTAATTTTGAATATAAAGTTGTCATTGCACAATTGATCTTAAAATCCTTATTATAATCATGTTTTAGTTGAGTTGTGCAAGTGGATTTTAATTAAGTTAGAATCATATTTTATTTGAGTTAAAATTAGGATACGATCTTACAATCCTACGTCCAGCCAAATTCCATTAATTATCATAAATTCCTCCAAAAATTAAAAAAGAAATTATTATCAAGCATCTTCCAATCTTGACTAGATAGTTTGGTAGAAGTTTGAGTTGTTTTACTGAATTTTGATAAAGTTACACTCCATCATAGAACCTATTAAAAAATATTTAATTTTGATAATTAATTATAATTTTTTTAAAAAATAAAAAGATGGTACTAATCATCTTAGAATCATAGCTAGGTTATTATACATGTGCTATCCTCCATCCATCTTAGAATCATACCAACGGGACCAACTCGGCTTGGTGACACTGTTCTCGATTGACTCTGCCACTTGTTGCTAATTTCTTCAACCTCCAAAACTGAGTTCCTATACTTGTTGAGATTCAGTAGTGGTGCATCAGAGATGAGCTATATTTTGTGCTCTACTGATGAGTTATTTCTAGTAAAATAGTTTGGATACCTATTGATGAGTTTCTGTAACTTTCTATCATCCTCTTTCTTACATGTTGCTAATAAAGCTAGGCATATATTCCTACCTTAGCAAGTTGGATGATTAGCAAAAAATTTTGGCATGCCTTCTCTATCCTTTTTACAAGGCTGATTGTCATGAGATCCATTACATATCCACTCTTTTCTCCCTTAACAATGAAATTTAACCTATCCATTAGGAACTCATATTATTAGTACAAACTTTTGAAGATTACTTAAACATATATTAGAGAGTACCACTTCATACAATACATCATCGATGTATTTGCTGGTGATGGTGAAGCAAAATTTGCAATGTCGATATATCTTCATCCCATATCTTTTCTGATCCAACCTAACTGATATGAGTTCGAATGAGGTGTGGTTTGTAGGCTAAGCTTTTGGATCAAGCTTATTGAGATGGAGTTCTTTTAACTGTCATTGTTGATTATAGTATCAATGACTTCTTGCTTAGTTGAATAACTCTTACGCAAACCTTTAGATTCAATGATAAACTCGAGTCTGTGGCCTTTGACCTCACCATATGTTATAGACTTGGATCCACATGATCAATTAGCGCCCATCGACTTTGGTTATTTTCTTTAACTATTTTGAAAAGAGTTTAGAGTGAACTTTCCAGCACTTCTCGCTTATATGTCCTATAATTTTACAATAATCATATAAGTGGTTCCTTTTCTTTTCTTTGAGCAAGAAGGATTCTTGTTATTTCCGAATTTTTTCTTGGTCTTAGAGGAGTCCTCTTCGGCCTTCGCTATAGTTCTCTCTCTGTGAGTTCAGTTCTTTCTTTTGATTGTTATAGTTGTCTAATAAGCACTTGAGATATTATGAACCTTGAAAACGCTCAATTCAATGTTGATCTAGGCATGCAAACTAGCGGTAAACTTTATCATTAATTGACTGCCGAGGAATATTCCAAGTGTCGTTGTTTATTGTCAAAACTCGTTTGTATACTCTTCTATCAATTGATCTTATCCTTGATACAAGATATGTCATCTTTTTCACTATTCTTCAAAGTATCCCATTAGGTAAATTTTTTGTCGAATGGGTCTTTTAAATTATCCCCATGTCAACTATTCATCGTCGGCTCACAAGTAATAAATCCATAGAGCTCGGTCAATTTGAGTCATCAATGTAAACCTGGAAAAAAAAAAATAAAACAATAAATTTATTATTTATTTAAATAAGATACATTATAATTTATTTATACATTCACTTTAACAAAAAGGTAATTATTAAATTACAAATATATGAGAGTCACTAATTCTTAAAAATTTATTTGTAAATTCTTACAGGTACATTTATGTATCTTAAGATTATTATTATTATTTTTATGAATTTTAGGAGCTTATGATTTTACGGTCAAAGTTTGCAACTCCCTTCACAATCCTTTGTAAGAAGAATACAAGTTCGACAACCTTCTCTTGTTTGCTTGCTTGGGATGATGTGCAACAACATAGAGCCAAACAGTGCACCGAAATGAATGCAAGCGAGTTTAAACGAATAGGAAATACTTTCTTTCTCATGAATTGCGATCTATCACATGTTGTGCTTAGTATACTATCTATCACTCCAAATTTGCTTTACAAGCCATGTTTGGTGTCCATTTTGCAACTAAAAAAGTTTTACATTAATTTTGTAGCTATTAGAGAGGTGAACCAAAACTTGCAATTGCAGAAACTTAATAGTTTTGTTTCCTTGAAAACATCCACTGAATTTTATTTTACAATAATGACCACAAGCATTAATATGCTGTTCCCATATTAATAAATATAAGTATCTATGGCATGCATGCTTAGAGCATCAACAAAGAAGATTAACAGATTAATAAGAGTATCACAATAAATAATTCATAATTAATATGTATTAATCATATGTAAAAAAGCTAACATATCAATCATTCATAATACATACTTATTCAAACATTTACTCTACTTGCATGTCATAAAATAATAATATTCTAATAAAGAGCATAACATATTTAATGCATATTACATAACCATAACAAGAATCATATCACATTTCACAAGTCACACTTTCTCTTTTCTTTTCTTTCATATTCTTTTACTGTACTCCATCATTCATATAGGAAATAAAAATAACTATGAAACTCAAGTATATACTAAGCTTAGGGAACCAACGCCATCGAATGGACAATGTTCTTAAAGTACATTTCTAATAGGATAATAGTACACCACTATTATTTATATAATATTCATGAAAATCAATCCATTTTAATAAAAATGATCTTTCTAATTCTCTTACTAAGACTATTATCAAAAAAAAAAAAAAATCTCATAGCCTGTGTCTTGGTAGACTTAAATGTCAACCCTTTACAGGTTTGAAGATTCACTATCTTTGGAATCTGCAAATAGGATATAAGCCTATGGTAAGAGAACTATTAAGAATCTAGTTTGACATTAAATTTATATAATAAATATATAATGCTCAATCACTATACTACTATACATCTTTAAGAAGAATCAAATCATGATTCATGGTTTTTGATACATGACATAAAACTATATAATTAATTATTAAACTATGTTAAACCTCACAACCCAAGTCATGCAAGCCTTCAACATAGCACATGTCAAATAAAATGAAAAAAAACACAAGATTCACCATAGTCAAATAACTCATTAAATGTATGAAAAAAATACTAATAATATCATGACAATATCAAGTCTTTAGACATTAAATCATAACCTACTTTATTCGTACAGTCTTTAGACACTAAATCATATATTACTTTATTCCTACACAACAACGTACTTAGAACATGGGATGTTAAACCCTACAACAATGTAATTGTTACCAGCATTTAGGTGACGATACTAGTATCAAAAGAAAGATTAGTTAAAACCTCATAAATTACTTGATGGAGCAAGATACTTGGTATAACGTGCATTTGCCACGATCTTTCTTGTCTTCTTCTTTCGAAGCTCTACATTGACTACCCCAACGGCCTTCCCAGCTCGCAAAATCTTGGCCTCGATCTCAATTTCTTCCTGGTAACCAACCAACCAACCAGACATTTTGCATTAATTACTAAAGCACATAAATCACATAAAGAGTTCAAAGCCAAGGTAGAAATCTAAACTTGCTGCAACTAGTAACAAATCCAGCATAGTTCCTTCCAAAATAGAATAGCTTAATCCAAGAAAAAAATAATCAGGAGGTAGAAGACTGAAATCAAGAATGTTGAGAGTCATTCACGTGATACAAAATCATGAAGGAATTTCATTTAAATTAAACAATTAAGCTTTTTTGATCAAATTTGACAGAATACCCCTCTTACTAATACTGAGTTTCAACTTCAAGAGCACACATCTAATCATACATAGCAAAAATGCTTCTCCTCATATGATTGAAAATAATGGAGCATATTCTTTTCGAAAAACTCAGAGTTGAATTTAAGTCCAAAAAAGCACACCTTACGGACCTCAAGGACACAGCCGTTGGTTCTCAAGTAAATCAGATGATTATGGTTTTGCCATCTACTAGGTTTTTAAATATCTGGATACTGAAAGCTCTAAAGCTCTGATACTGAGAGAAGATACCAGGAGGAGCAGCACCATACCCATAGTGAAAAGATGGATCCAACCTTAACAAATTCATCCTAGCTCTTTTCTTAAAGTTATTTGTGAATTAGAAAGTCCGTCTGGTCAGGTGTGACTTTCAGAAAGGCACTTCTAGCTGGATTACACAACTTTATAGCATTTGATTAATTTAAGTGAAATTGGAAGTGGATTTTCAGAAGCTACCTAAAAAAATCTGAAACAACCAAAATCCTGATTCTTCTATCCCTTCTCTTTGTCATTCCCTCTCCTCACTTCTAACTCACCCTCCCTCTCTCCTCTCTCACATGCAAGCAGTGTAGTTATTGGTCATTACAATGTGTGACAGAGGACATGCAGCAGATGGAGAGCAGAAAGAGGGCACCTCAGCTGCTACTGCTCTATCCTTTACCAGTGAGGATCATCTGGAATCATCAAGGATCAATTAATTACAGTTGAGTCCAGCTGATACCAACCAAGTCGGACACATTTTCTGTATCTGCAATTGTACCATGGTCATGAAAGCACAATAAGAGAAAGTACTGAGTAAGCACTATAGCAACATATATGAGGAATTAATTCCTTAAAAGTTGCTTTAGAGGGACTCATTCTAGCTACCTCCTTCATTTGTGCTGAACCAAACAAGCCCCAAACCGAAGTATGCATCATAGTTTCAAAAGCATTAAACAAAGCCACGAAGCACCACACAAAAATTAATGTAAAAGGTCCAAAATTCTATTGAAAACTACAGATCACAATATATAAAAAAATACCCATCAGAAATCAAAGTATAGAAGTGGTTTACGAGGAACATAAGAACTCTTAATATTGTAGCCATGCCCCATGTATCCACCTCTATCAGTGCATTCACAAACATCAACACTGTTCTCATGATCACTCGTGAACTTGATTCACAAGTGAGCAGTCAAATCTACAAACAAACGCTAGAGATACATGGTCTGAATGCATGGAATTTAACCTTATAGATCTGCATCAAAGAACATTGGAAGAATTTGGCACAAAGAAAGAACTGCTATGTGAACATAAATGAAACTTTTGACTTCCCTCCCTGGAAAAATGCACTTTGGACCACTCTAAATGATATGCAAATACCACTTGTAAGGCCTACAAAACAAGTTAGTTTATACAGGGTTTGGATAAGAAGAATCCTGAACCATATAAGAAAAATAAGAGATTGAGACTCATTAGGATTCACATTCAGCTCCAACAGACATTAACTGGGCCAAATGGTCAATCCAAAAAGAAAACATACCAATTGAACTAAAGGGGACAAAAACCACTTAGGGCAATACCAGCAAACCATTGATCAACATAATTGATATATACCTAACCAAATCATGCCAAAACATCTACAAAGTTCAACTTAAATCAGCATACTTCAAACAAACGTAATTCAAGTCTCGATTTCTATAGGACACAATTAAACTAAACTATATACTGAAGCTACATGAATGCATAACCTGTTTTCCACGTAAGTTGTGCAAGTAATCAGCATGTTTCTTAATAAGTCCAGAGATGCTAAAATGAATGTTTTATGTTCAAATCTCCAGCACAGCTCGAAACATGAATTTCCAAATAGACTTGACACAAAAAAACTTGTTCTTCCATTAAAAAAGAATTACACTATTAAAATTTGGACAACATAACCCATGGAACAACTTTGACCAAAAAGAAATTTAATTTTCAAGAAGAAATTTGCATATATGCACTAACACATCAACAATAAAAAAACTCACTAATACTAACTGCCAACAACTAACATTACATATCAACAGCTAGATACTCGACTACCTATACATACACTAAACAAGACAATAGAAGAAGAGAATTTCCCATTTCTCACTTTTGTTTGTATGGCAGGGATCAAGACTCTAGAGATCTCTGACGACTCCAGCCAGGTCATCCTGTTCGAGAATTTTGGATTCAACCACCGTGGAACCGTCGCAATTGCTCTATCTGGTGTGTCCATCTCCTCCTCCGCCGCTGCCCCTATCGTTGACCCCTCTCTCCTCGACCTCAGGCTGCTAGACTCTCTGTTCTTCTAGGACATGGTCCACTATTCCAACAACCAGCCAATTTGCCCTCTCCGGCTCCTAGCACGACGATCTCCGTCTTTAGGAACTCTTCGTCAGTGTCACCACTCCCAGCGGCAACTCTCTTTCTCCCTAGCAGTGAACGACAGCTGTCTTCCTCGATAAACGACGGTTGTTGCATCTTCCTCTCCATCGACATAACGACAGAGGTGACATCTTTGCCCCCTACCCCCTGCCTCCTTCTCCCTATGTCGACGTCTTCACCTCCTCTTCCTTCGGCGACTGCTCTCTACCGCCGTCGATCTTCCTCACCGACGGATCGCAGAAGGTGAGCGTCGTCAGAGGCGAGCGCAATGAAGAAGCATCTTGCTTAGCGGCTGCATCTTGCTCACCGACCGCCGCATCTTGCTCGGCAATCTCTTGCCTTCGTCATCAAGAAGCAGTAGGAGGCAAGCACCCCACCCCGCCCCCCCCTCTCTCTCTCTCTCTCTCCTTCCTTACGCTGTCAAGAAGAAGCAGGAGACAAGCACCCCCCACCTTCTTCCTACGGCAGTAGAGCCGAACCTTCTCCTCTCTGTTCTTCCTCACCAGCTAAGCGCCCGTGCTACCCTTATTCTTCATTGCAACTCCTCACCACTACTGCTCGACCGTCGCTGATCTTCCTCATTGGTGGACTTCAAGTGAGTCGTGCGCCCACCTCTTCTCCCCTGATCTACCTTGTTGCAGCCGACAGCCTCCTCCTCCCTAAGTCAACATCTTCTCCGACGTTTCAACTCCGTTGACTACCGCTCTCTGCCCCAAGCGGTCTCTTCTAGAGCGCTCATCTCTACATCGAGTGCTGCATTGGCCGCCTCACCCTCGGCGTCGACCGCACCCTCCTCCCATCTTTTTGCTTCAGGCCTTGGCACCTCTGCCTCGTCGACCGCCACTCTATCCTCCACCCCAAACCCGGTTCCAAGTTTCAATTTCACAGTCATCTTTCCCTCTCCTCCCTACTGTCACGAGCAAAGTTGTAAACGGGAATGTTTGATGTGATGTTTATGTATATCCATGTCTTTCAATTTTGTTCATGCTTTACAATTTGCAGAACATATAGAGAGCCGACAATAGGCTTGGCAGCCCCATTTTGGTTGGCTTTAGTAGCCACTTTAGGCTTGTAAATGAAGGTTGTCATGTGGGCACTTGTGAGCATATCAGTATATAGTGGATCATCTTGGACCTATTGTTGTGTGACCGTTCAGGACATGCGAAGCCTATGGTTATAATTTTCATTGGCTATAAAGTGCTTACTAAAATGATTGCTTGTGGATCCCGAGTAAAACGTTTTCTCTAACATATTTTCTCTTTTGTAGCTTCTAAGGGACCATAGGAGGTTTTGGAGATGTTGACCTTTGCGGACAGACATGTAAGGGTGCCGCACGACTTAGGCAAAACCAGCTAAGTTCGTGACACTACGCCGACGACTTTCTCTACAGCCACTTGCTTCAATAACCTCCTTGTGCCAACAACCTGGCTTTGCTATGGCCCTACGCCAGCCTCCCGCTAGTGCTACTCCTTTGGCGGCCTCCTCTCGTGGGCCGACCTACTGCTGCTGCTACTGCTATCCTCCTGTTGCTACTACCATCCTTCGATCGTGGGCCAATCTCCGTCGAGTTCTCTAGCGCCCAGGTTGCATAGTTCTCGATCTTCATCGAGTTCTCCAGCGCTCAATCTTTGAGGCCGAGCACCCGTTGTCTCCTCTTAGCCCCCTTGTCCTCGGAGGTGTATAGTGTTGCCAATTCTGACGACCCTCTCGCTGCTCACAGTGCTCCAGAAATCAAGCCAACGGACTTCAACCAAATCACAACATCTGCCTGCCATCTTCCTTAGTACCAACCCAGTGTTCCACTCATGTATAAAACGTATTGTCATCGACTTCCACTTTATCAAAGATCAAGTTGTCAGACATCAACTTATGATCAACTAGCAGACCCCTTCGCGAAGCCTCTCGCCCGTAAGATATTTTAGTTACATCGATCTAAGATTGGCATATTTGACAGAAACTCAATCTTGTGGGGGCATGATAGAAGATCATGATAAAGGCACATATGGAACAGCATCCCTGCTTCCTTATATCCTCAATCAATCACAGATTTGAGGATCAATCTCAGATTTAAAGAACTAATATGATTAAATGATTTGAATGCATGATTAAGAAAAATCTCTCCCTCAAAACTTGTATAAATACTTATCTCCTTCATGAATAAAATCAATCATTTTCATAACCTATTCCTTAATTCAACACTTTCTACTCCTTACGGCAGACAAGGATTTTTTTTATCTGACTATAGATACTTATTTGAGTACGTGTCCGAGGCTCCCACTAATATAAGATCTCGAGATGGTTGTAGCCTTACCTTTAAAACATCCAAAGAAGTTTTTTCTGTCATTCAAACCCTAGTCTTTCAGGTTGCCGTCGAACCTGTTGTATTAAAGGAGCAACGATAATACTTGCTTTCAGAATTTTTTTTTCCTTTTATCTTTTAATCACATATAATAAAAATTCAAGCAAAGCAAGTCCCAAGAACTTGTTAAACAGAGAGTCCTCTCATCACACAGTCTATACTGTAGCCTTTTCATAAAGATTTACAGTTGAGCACATACTGCAACAAAGGCACAAAACAATCCAGGAGGAAAAAGAAATTTCAACCCCAAACTGAAGGGATCCTTCCCATAAAGAAGGAATCAATCACAAGAGAAGAGTTATAACACCATCTAAGTACCAAAATTCTCATAAAAAACGAACAAATTAAGCTTGCGATCGACGAACTTACGTTGGCAAAGGCGGCATCCAAGTAGGAGATTCCGATCTCCATAGGCACACCCCTCGACTGAGCTCCGGCAGTATAGAAGGCAGCGGAGCCGACCAGATCCACCAGGGACGCGGTGGCGCCGCCGTGCAGGAAGTTTCCCGTGTTCTGCAGAGACGTGGGAAAGCGCATCGGATCAAAATAGGAGAAGATTGCAACGGAAAAGGAGGAAACGAAGGGAGGGGTGGCTCACGAGGAGACGTGGAGGAACGGTCATGGAGCAGAGAAGGTGGCCAGGCTCGACGAGGTCGACGCGGAGGCCGCGGAGGATGAAGGCGTCGTAGAACTTGGAAGGGAGGGCGTCGAGGGCGGGGGTCGGGAGGATCTCTTCGGCCGCCGCCTCCAGTGATCTCTTCGCGGAGTCCAACGCCATTTGTTCGTCGACAAAGGGGGGAGGAGACGACGGAACGGGCTGTTGGACACCAGTGGTGCGTATTGTTATTATTATTATTATTATTATTATTATTATTATTATTATTATTATTATTTTAATAGTCGCCAAATTGAAAGCCAACTGCTATACCCACTTCTCGGCCTACGTACAACAATTCTATACTAAATATATGATAAAAATAATACACATCAAACTATTTCATAGGGGTTTAAATACCATGCACAATATTACCGATGACCCAAGAAATAACTGGTTTCCTTTACAAAATCAGCTATTGAATTAAATATATACTGTGTTCGCGCCCAACCGAACGAGACATGGCGAGCGAGAGATCCAAGTTGATGTCGTCTCGAGACTTCATCTTGGACGTCGTCCGTCCATGGTGCCGCCCCTCGCGTTGCCCATAGAGAAAAGACTTGCCCACGACGTCGTCGGGGCGTGGAAGTTGGGAGATGCGTTCGATCGGACTACCAAATGCCTTGAATGCAGCCAGGACATGGAGCTCTTCGGCCACCCGCCCTCTCGGGTTCTTTGGACGGGTCTTGGACGTTGACGCAATCACAAGCGCTTTACGCCACTGTGGTCGAGTCCTGGCCATTCAGGAAGGTATGTCGATCCACTCGCAGCTATTGAAACGGGGCCTCTGTCCCGACGTCCTTATCGCGAATCATCTCATCGATATGTACGGGGCCTCTGGGTTCCTTGATGGCGCACAGAGGCTGTTCGGTGAAATGCCTCACCGGAATGTGGTCTCTTGGACCACCTTGATTTCAGCACAAACTCGTGCTGGCCATCCTAACTTGGCTATCGAAACTTTTACCCGGATGTTGAATCACGGATCTGAAGAACCCAATGGCTATACTTATTCCGCCGCCTTGAAAGCTTGTGCCATTGCTGGCAATCATGAGTTGGGCAGGTGGATCCACAGACATGTTTTGAACAATGGATTGCAATCAGATGTGGTCCTGATGAACGCTGTTGTTGATATGTATATCAAATGTGGGAGTTTCAGTGAAGCCCGATTTGTGTTTGATGAGTTCTCTCTGGCCAACTCTACCTCATGGAATACGATGATTGCTGGGTATTTCAGAAAAGGCAGCGCATTCGAGGCAGAGAACCTATTTTATCAGTTTTCTAAACCGGATGCCATCTCATACAACACCATGATCTCTGGGTTTGCAGGAATGGAAAGCCCAAAAGCATTAGATTATGTTTATTTGATGCACTCAAAGGGTTTTAAGCTTGACCATTATACGATTCCCTGTGCTCTAAAAATATGTGGGGTCTTAACTTTTTTGAAAATGGGAAAGCAGATTCATAACTACATCATTAAATCTGGTTTTCTCTTCAGATGCTTTATTCTCTCCTCGCTGATTGATATGTACTCCAAATGTGGCCAAATAAATGAGGCAATAAAGCAATATGACGAGTGCATGAACTACAAAGGTCTTACTGACAGATTACCCCTACTAAATTCCATGTTTTCTGGATTTGTTGGTAACGGATACACTGCACATGCACTTGATCTGATGTCAGTGATCTACAGATCAGGCACTCAGCTTGATCATTTTACCTTTTCAAGTGCTCTACGGCTTTGCATTAACTTACATAATATGCGAATTGGTCTTCAAGTCCACAGTTTGATCATTATTAGTGGATTCCACAGAAACCATATTGTTGGCAGCAATCTGGTAGATCTTTATTCAAGATGTGGGAATTTAGTAGATGCATTTAGATTGTTTCACGATCTCTCTCACAAGGATGTAATTGCATGGACTGGACTAATCACCGGCTGTTTGCGAGAAGGGTCAAATGAGTTGGTATTTAATCTGTTTAGAGAAGTGATTCGCTTGAAAATCAAGGTGGACCACTTTCTGGTTTCAAACATTCTTAAAGCTTGTTCGGTTATTCCGTGGGTTCAAGGTGGAAAACAGGTTCATGCATATATTGTTAAGGGAGGGTTTGAATCAGAAAGCATCACTGTTACTTCGTTAATTGATATGTACTCGAAATGTGGTGAGATTGATGATGGCTTCAAGGTATTTGAGTCTGAAGTTGAAAAGGATACTGTCTGCTGGACTGGGATAATAACTGGATGTGGGAGTAATGGGAAGGCAACAGAAGCACTGAAGCTTTTCCGGGAGATGATAAAAGCAGGGGTGGAACCAAATGAGATCACTTTCCTGAGTGTTCTTTCAGCCTGCAGACATGCCGGCCTGGTTGCAGATTCATGCAGGATTTTCAAGTCCATGGAAGATCGGCATGGCTTGAAACCATGGATAGAGCATTATCATTGCATGATAGACATTTTATGCAGAGCCGGATTGTTTGAAGAGGCTAGGGAGATGATTTCTCTGATGCCTTATCGGCATGATGAAACTGCACATAACTCTTTACTTAGCAGTTGTCAGATTCATCAAAATTCAGAACTTGGCAAGCTTGCTCAGGTTGACTTGTTTCAATCTATATCATGTGATACATCAGGGTACATTACATTGCCTAATATTTATGCTAGCCAGGGTTTTTCGGATGTTTCAGCTAAGTTTAGAGAGTTAAGCAGAAGAATGAATATTAAGGATGCTGGAAAAAGCTGGGTCCAAGTTAGGACTCAATGATATATCTATATCTCGTTGCCATCCTGAATATTGTGGATTGCATTTGTTAGTTTTGGGAAGAATAGACATGTTTAGAAAGCCTGCATTCTGGAACAATGCTTTACCCAAAAGCTCTCAGAAAGGTACAGAATTTTTAAGTCAAACCAAGTAGGTCTTAGTGGAAAATTTTTATCTTTCAACAAGTATAGAATTTTATATATCTACAGGACGCTTAAATCTTCTGAGGTGTGGAAAGGATAAAGGGTATATCATGGTGATGGCTCGTGGAACAAGTAGACAGGCAAATCATACTCTTGCTGAATATTTTGTTTGCACTAATAATCTCATCTATATGACCACTAGAAATAATGCTATTTTTTCTGCTATTTAGTTTCTAATATCTCTTACCATTGTAGGTTAATAGCCACTCGAGAAATGATGCGAACGAATGGGTATAGTTGTCAATCATGCCCAAAGATTTTGACTTGCATAAGAAAAAAGTTTTGGTACTTCACATGTGTGGTTGCCAACATTCTCTTGAGTAGCCTTCGTCAGTTGGAGTTGTCCTACAAACTTTTTGAACATTGAAAAGGTTCTATTTTGTTGCATTTTTCTTCCTTTCCAGAGAATATATTGGCCATGAGCTAAACATGTTCACTGACACCAGAAAATTGTGATCCGTAAGAACATCATTTCAGGGCATCCATGGTGTGAAGCAGGATGCGTCTCTTATAATTCCAACATCGGCATCATCGTTCGAATCTTCTGATGTCTATCATGTCTAAGGTACTGTCATTCTCTTGACTGCTAAGTTTTTTCAACATCATCAATGACTTTTCCTATGTATTCAACATTTTAACACAAGAATGAACTGATTGGAAGTACCTGATCGAGGTTTATCAAGTGGGAAACAACTAAATCCCAAGTCTCTGTACAGTCTGGCCGTACTACTGCTGAGGAGAGGTTCCATCAAGAAGATTGTCCAGTTATCATCCCACTACTATATTATCCAGCTTGTCAATGATAGACTTGCCTGCTGGCAGGGATCCTTTTAATCTCAGACTGGTAGGATTATCTTCTTTCGCCACTCTCTTAGTGTCTCTTGGATACCTAAGGTAATCTGGGTAAAATTAAATTGCTATTATTTTTTTGGGCAAAATAGTCATTCTTCTAATGTCAAGCACTACATTGCTTGGGAGGGATACTGTCACCCTTCCCTTCCTGAGGACCTACCAAGATGGATTGGGTATTCATGGCTATCATCTTACTAGCTTATCCTTCAAGCCAAGAGAGGGCAATTATCTACTAAAATAAAATCAGGATGGAAATATAATTATCTACTAAAATATTTTTAATATAAAAAAAATCAGGACGAAAAAAGAAAAAAATAAAGAAAGAAAGAAAACAAAATAACCACCACACCCGCGGACCAATCAGTGCATCAAATCTTGTTGCCTATTACAAGCAACAAAAAAGCAAGTTAAAAGAAAGTTTGAAGAAGCCATTGACTGCTTTTGCACGACATCAAGGATCTAAAGATCATACATATCCTCAAGGAAACATACATTATGAATGCTGAATTAAGGACGGCAAGTTGTCACTTTGAATTGAGTAGCTAAACACCAAGTGGCACCTCGGGAATTGATTCCAGGTTTCTAAAGAGGTAGAATTTTTCTGAAAGAAAAGCTTTCTCCCTGCCTGCTTTATTCCCTGTGCTACCCCCCGGTGATGCCTGCAATGAGTAAGCACATGGAACTTTAACAGGCAAAGCAGGTCCCATGAGGACCATTCCCTCCCCTCGCACTCCGTTCCATTTTGGATCCCTGAGTTGGATGCAGTTTCCTAGTGTTAACCTGCAGAAAGTTATGTAAGCAGCTCGAAGAAAACTGTAGAATTACCTCCTTTGAAGCTTCACCATTAAAAAAATAGTAGCACCCATCACTCCTTGCATCGAAGCCCCTCCTCCTCCCTGACATCACTCCACCATCCACTACAAAGGCATCAGCAGGCCACCACCAGCACTTATTTTGCGGAAGAATAACTCGAGCTTCCCCTTCTCTAATGGCAGCAGAAGCCAGGAGAGCCAGGGAGAAGCAGACCCGGAAGGAAGAAGAGAGAAGCCTCCAACAGGAAGCACAGAGCCCGTTTGCTAAGGGAGCACTTAGAAGCTTCTTCACATGCAAGCATCACCAACCAGGAGAAAGGAACAATGGGCACAGCATGCGGATGGGATGCTCTGGGTCTATTTGCAAGCTGAGGGACATGCAGAGGCCAGAGACGGTCTTAGCTGAGCCTTGCAAGAAAAATGCTGCAGCATCAGGTGGTGGTAGTGGTAATGGTAATGGTGGTGAAGGAACCAAGAAACAGCCCTTGAGTGAGATCAATGGAGTTGTTTCCAAGCCCTCCTCTCATTCTGCTGCTGCTTCTGTGGCTGCCTCCTCTTCTTCTACTTCTTCTGTTGGTGGCTCTTTCAGGCGAATGCATCGTAGGAGGCTTTATGGCTGTTATGAGTGTCACATGGTGGTCGATCCCATCAGTATGCTGTCAAGGGATTCCTCTCTGGGGACGACAATCTGTACCTGCCCTGACTGTGGAGAGATTTTTGTGAAAGCTGAGAGTCTGGAGATTCACCAGGCGGTGAGGCATGCAGGTAGAATGTTCTCTTCCCCTTCTTAGTTTGCATCATTTAATCACTACATTCTCTCTTTCCTTTGTTCCTTTTCTTTATTTAGCAGTGTTTCTTTTGTTGTCCTTCTCAAGCCTCCTCATCCCTCTTTGCTCAAAATTAGCTGTGAATCTTATAAAAGTCTTGGAAATTGCACCTTTTTTGTTGCTACACAAATTTAAGATCCATGTGATCTCAAAAGTCTGTTTGGAAATCGATGACTGATGATTTAAGAAGAAGCAAAATGTTATTTCCGAACATAAAAAATCTATGAGCTACCTGCCATACTTTTATGAGTTTCTGGGGTTGCCATGCCATGCTTGTCATGAAAATGTGCTTTTGAATTCTTAACATAGGAGATATACAGCATATCTCACAAACACAGCATACTAAATCTTTGCTAATAACTCGATTCGAATTCTGAGGTTCTGGCCTCGACTGCTAGAATGTTGCTAGTTCTCTGTTCATGGACTTTGATCAACTTGCTGGCAATGCCCTTATACCTATTTAGGTTCGATTTCCTTTCTTCCCTAGCATCTCAACTATTCTCCTGGAAAGCAAAGTATCCATGTATATTTCTAATTTTCTTCGCTTCATCCACCTGTGACCAATCCAGGCATATTATCCATGTATATTTCTTGTCTGCAACTTACTTTTGGCTATGAAATCAACTTGGTATTTATTTGATCTTTCTACCTTTTTGGCCCCCTCAGTATCAGAATTGGGACCTGAAGACACTAGCAGAAACATAGTAGAGATCATATTCCAATCGAGTTGGCTAAAGAAGCAAACACCAGTTTGCAAAATCGACAGGATCCTAAAGGTCCACAATACCAACAGAACACTGACAAGATTTGAAGATTACCGGGACTCCATAAAGATCAAGGCCAGCAAGCTAGCGAGGAAGCACCCGAGGTGCACCGCAGATGGAAATGAGCTCCTGAGGTTCCACTGCACCACTTTTATGTGCTCCATCGGCCTTGATGGGGCCACTAACTTGTGCAACTCTATCCCCAAGTGCAGCTTGTGCAGCATTGTAAGGGATGGATTCAAGATTGATTCACATGGAAGAATCGGAACGATGGCTACCAGTGGGAGAGCACACGATGCCGCTGACAACGTATCGGATAAGACTGCGATGCTGGTGTGCAGAGTTATAGCTGGCAGGGTGAAGAGGAAACAGGATGATTTGGAGGAGTATGATTCAGCAGCTGGCATGGCAGGAATCTACTCAAATTTGGATGAGCTATTCGTGTTCGATCCTAAAGCTATTCTGCCTTGTTTTGTTGTAATTTACAGGAGCTGATCTCGCATCTTTCTCCATGCTTTTGTCTCTGCTGAAACTTCACAGACCTCTGTGCCTTGCTAATTGAATGATGCAGCATCTGATATTGCTCCAAAAACAAAAGCTGTAATCCGAGTTGCCATTGCTCAAGTTATCTTCTAATCGAATGACGTACGTAGCATCTGATATTGCTCCAAAAACAAAAGCTGTAATTCAACTTGTGCAAAAGGAGCAACCTTATTGTTGAATATTATATGTCTCATACGAGACGATGACAGTGGGTCTTTATTTGCATTTAGAGAATCGTTATGAAGTTATCTTCTAAACAATGTTGAGACTTTCTACCAAAAACTAGATGGATTGCCTGGTACACAGTATCCATGATAACTGCAACATGATCAGGCTTGCCGAAAAGAGCACACAGTATCCATGATAACTGCAAGAAAAATCAACGGTTGCACAAGGTGGAACCGGAAAAAGTGGAGGAAAAGCTAGTGGAATTAGGATTCTTTCGTTGATAAACATCCTCGGAAAAAAGGAAAGACAAATGTAGGCGTTGTTGCTCTAAATGAGAATGTTAGAGAACTTTAATTTCCAAGTCAAAAAGACCTGCGACGAATCCCAAGTCATATCTTTAGATAACCAAGGAAGGGCCTAAAGCAGATATCGAAGAATCGAGCAGGATGAGGCAGAAGCAGAAACCACATTCAAATTTGAAAGATTCGTTCTACCAAGGTTGCTAATCTAGCTTTACATTTGTGCTCGATTTGGAGTCTAGGTAGTAATCTCCCTGCTGCTCTTACTTCTAGAGACAAGTAAGTGTTTTGTCTTTACCTTTCTTGTTTAGCTTTGGAATAAAACGGAAACCAGTCTTTCAAGAAGATTAAAGCATCAGATAGAGGAGCTGCAAAAGAGCCAAGAGACAAGACTCCTGGGTTTGCAGGTAGCCTCAAGATAGATGGATGCTTTGCCCCCCTCCCTAGGAAAAGAAAACAAAGATGAGGGTGGGTCATTCTGAAAGCAACATAGCACGACAGAAGCCATAAGCCCAGCTTAAGAAGGGTTATCTTTTGGAGGGTAGCAACAAGAGTAACATAGGCCCGATTCCTCGACGCTAAATCACTGGTCGGCATAACTGGGATCGCATGTATGTATCTATTCTCTTAGATTTGGTTTTAAGAAAGGTTAGATTTGTTTTGGCCCACATGTCGAACAACTTCTCGTTTGTCCTATTGTTCTACTCTTTTGACAAAGTATCTTGAGTTTTAGGTGATCCTTCGACGGTTAATCCATGAGATTATTCCCTTGCAAGTGCTAATTGATTAAGTGATAAAAAGTTTACTTATATGATATTAAATTGACACATTGTATATTAAACCATAATCTATTTGTCCTTGAGATAATCTAAAATGTCTACCTCATTTTAAGATAAGATTAATATTGTTTACCACCTTATAGATCGTCTAAAACATGACTAATGGATCAATATCATTGTCTTGCTCTTACTCCATGATGGACCTTCTTCACCTAATGCATCCCCATATATTATTTTGTTTTTGCTGAAATATAATCAATCATACACTATCCCTCTACAAATATTTTTGAAGTTTGTTATTGGTAGCCCCTATAAAAATAATAAAATATAATTTTATTATTTATATTAATGCATAAGCTATAACTCTGTCATTTTGTATCAAAATACATCATATATCATGAATCCTCCTGATCCAAATGAGACAACAAGAATTAGAGCTAAAATCAATCTCCCTTTTTAGTCCATGGAAACTAATTTCACAAGTCACGGTTCATTCTAATTTAATATTTATTTTTACTAATTGGGTGAGGGTGGATACTAACTTAGATAATTTTCGCATATAATTTCTATAATAACATGTTATCCCAATTAATCTCCTTACCTTAATTACATTAGTCAATCCGAATCAATTACTAATTGCTTCTAGATCAAATAAGATTCTTTTCCTAGATACATTAAATTTAAAGAATATTATCTTCTCTAGCTAAAATTCACACTTGTTAAGGTTTGCATACAATTATCTTTCATTCAAGAAACTCAAATTTATTTATAATATTCTACATATTACTCCTTAGAGTGAGTATATCAAAATATTATCAATAAAAATTATCACAAATATATCTAGATACTTCGTGAATATGTTGCTCATTAAGTCCATAAAAGCGATTGGTGCGACCAAATGGCATCACTGAAAATTTAAAGTATCAATATCTGATCTTAAAGGCGGTCTTAGGAATATATTTTCAATTGATGATATCTTGATCTTAAATTAATTTTTGAAAAATACTAATACATCTTGTACTTAGACAAGTCATCAATTTTAGGAAGTAAGTATTTATTCTTAATAGTTACGACTCTCTCCCTATAGTCTATGCATAATACTATCATCCAATCATTTTTCTTTAGAAATAGGATCGATACGTCCTATGATAAAGAAAAAACTAAGATGAATGAATCATTTATCATAATTATATCTTTAACCATTAAGTTTTAGAGGGTCATTCTATTGTATGAGGTGGTTTGGAAATAGATTCTACAACAAATTCAATCTTCCTATTGAGCGGTAAGTGGTAAACTACGATGATCCTTTAAAATATTTTTAGAAATTTAGTTATAATTTCGCTAACGACGAGACACATGCGACGGGACAGAGAGTGCACGACAGCTTGGATCGGCCGAGAGCGCCAACTTCTCCGACGAGCACTGGAATCGCAACGTGACCGATCCAAGGCGGCACATCTGCTTCGAGCGATTCTGCCGGTGGAAGGACGTGCTGCAAGCAAAACCGGGGCAAGCCACCTTCACCACCACCACGCGAGAGCCAACACAAAGGGAACTCCAGCGGCTCCATCGACTTAACATAATTGCTCAGTCTTGCCGCCATTCTTCTTCTTCTTCTTCTTCTTCTTCTTCTTCTTCAGTTCTTTGCATTCTTTCCTTCGTACGGCCTTCATAAAACTCAACAGAATGTAAAGAAACATTTATTTAATTTGTACAAAAAAAAATTAAAGGTACAAATAAAACAATAGAAATTGTTTGTACCCTTTTTTTTGGTGAAATTGGATTCCTACCAATACATGTTCAATCAAATAGAACATGTTCAATAATTCTGAGTGCCACCACTTCATTATCTGCTTGACTACTGATTATTTTCTTATTCCTCTGCAACCACATATTGGTAAACAGCTACAGCTACAGCTAAAACTGCATCTGCCTTGAATTGGACCTATTTTTTCTTTTATTTATTATTCATCTATTTTTTGTTAAACTTCATATATCAATGATAACTAAACTAAGATGAAGTAGATATATTGGTTGATGAATCATTTGTTATGCAGACACAATCGTCTTAATAACACAAAAGTGTTTCGCGTCTCCTAACCTAACTCATAACGTCTGATAGAGACGATAAGTAACTATAAACTCAGCAGCAATGGTCTCAGACACGAGTTTGAAGAGGCATGGCAATTAGATTCAGCATTAACGGCCCAAGAAAGCAAAGAGAAGCAGCTCAAACATTTCACAGAAACCGACTTCAACAACATGAAACATCGTTCTCGTAATGCTGCTTGGCCTCTCAGGTGAATGAATCATAGATAGAGCTGATAGAACAAAAAGAGAACTTATTGCAATACATCTCTACAAGAACAGGCAGATATGACATAATGCAAATCACATCATTGGGCCTTGGCCAACCATTACGTATATGCATAGGGTTTCCAACAACCAACAGCATCTAAAAAGCAAAGACGCACAAGTATTTGTAGACTTCTGCTACTTCATGGACATCCTAACAAAGAAAAAGAAAAAAATACCTGTACGCAGTGAACCTATTAAAAGTTCTTCAAATCCAATTTGCTCGTTTCTAGCTTAGTAAATTGTATCATTGTTGGAGTTGCAAGTCCAAAAGAAAAATAAGCAAATAGGCATAACAGCTACAGGTTTGTAGTTTTCATCTTCTATGAAACAGATAGTAATTATAGAAAAAGAAGTTATAACATAGGAAGAGAGATAAAATAGCCTTTCAGAAGAAATTGAAACATGTTCTCATTACTACTATGGTTTACCATAGGAATTACATGTAAAACCAAAACTCACATTCTCAATTGTAAAACATCAAGTGTCATCACACACATGTTCCAAGATAATCATTACCTCTTCCTTTGAGAAAAGAAACGAACAATATGCTACAAATAAAAGTAACAGTTAAAGAATGGATGAGAACCACTTTCCCTGGCATTCTGCTTCATCTCAGAGACAACCTTGCACTTCCAAAAAGAATAACAAATTATAACAAGGAAAAAAAGAAAAGATCATGATCTGGAACATCATTTTTCCAACTTTCTCCAGCCTGCACATATAAAATAATCAAGAACTTTTAAGCATCACAATTAGTTAGCAAATGACCTACACGGTTTAGTAGCACTAATAACAAAATCATAGTCAACACCACGAAGCCACTGTGCTACCTAGACATTAATCATTATCAACTTATATGTAGTTGTTATTAAGATCAGTTTTAAGTCCCAACCTTATTTAGGAATGGATAAATATGCACGCCATATAACATATAGACTCCTATGATGTATATTATTTGCTGACAATATTGTTTTTATTTTTGCTGGCAATAAAATTCTAATTGATATGGGTTTATATTAAGTTAAATTTAAAATTTAAACTTGAGTTTAAGGAAACAGACCCTAGAAGATAAAGATAATAGATTAAGTAGGACCGAGATTAAATATATGAAATATAAATTTGGTAATACTAAGAAAAGAATTGATGATGTAATTAGGATGAATGGACAACAAGATTTTGTGAGTAAAAGTTTTAGGTATCTTTGATATGTTATTTAACAAAATGAAGAAATTGATGAACATATTTTTCATAAAGTAAAAAAATTTTGTGGTTAAAGCTGCAAGAATTATTGATGGTTATGTGATAATCAGGTGCCCCCTTTAATTAAACAAAAAAGTTTACCAATCGGATCCAAGTACTGGATAATTAGTGAACATCATGTGAAAAAACCCTTATGTAGCTGAGATGGAAATGCTGAAGTGAACCAGCAAAGTTACTAAGAAAAAGAATATCTCATTCGTGGGTGCTTAGGTGTAATTTCAATAGAAAATAAAACAAGGATGATTATCTAAGATGGTATAAACATATTCAAAGAATATATGTAGATGTGATCAGATAAATTAAGTTGATTAGTATTAGTAGCACGAGAAAAATAGAAGAGGACTAAGAAAAAGTTAAGTGAAACAACAAAAGGAGGTAGAATCCTCATAATTAAACAAGAGACTTTGGTACAGAATTGAATGGTAGAAAAAATCTAGTCAGCCTCAAACAGTTAGGATATTACAATTTGTTATTAATATTGTTACTGTTGTAGAATCCACCAAACTGCCAAACCGTTTGAAATTATATGAAAAGGGTGCTACGTACCGACCAGCCCAACAACAAAGCTTTAATGCCACAACGAAGATTCATAATCAATGTTGGAATGGATCGAAGCAGCAGAGAACCAAGGGGATCCTGTACTTGATGAGGTAGAAGATCATCTACGTCCTTCTCGTTTTATCACCGAGACAATATAAGAAGCAGAACAACATCCCTAGTAGGAAGAAGATCCCCTTCGGTCAAAACGTGACAGAAGGAGCTGAACATCCTCGAGTCAGACTACTCGAGGTCATGACACCCAACAGTCATAGTCGTCCGCCCAATGTGCAAAAGCAAAGGGGAAGGCAATAGCATCAGCCGAACCATTAGAAAGAATCTGAGTCGGGTGACAAGACACCTTCTCAATCACATTCAACAACCCGCTCAATCTGTAGACATACCAGCGACATGGACAGTAGTATCTCAACCATCAATGGTGATGACGATGGGGAGTCGATCTACTCAATTTTAGATTAATACATATACCGAGCAACATTTTATGCATGCCACCTAAGATTCATATTATGAAAATCGAGGTAGTCATCATGTTTACACACGAAAAGGGAAGGGAAAGGCAATTGATGATTTTGAGCAAATGCGATAGACCCTATACAATGTAGACATAAAGTGGAGCTCATCGTATTCCTATATTATGGATTATCTTACAGCCAACAGTACGATGATAGTTGGTCCTTTTTCGAGGTAGATCGGTTTTATAATACGAAGCAACAGGACAATGGCAAAAGTAGAAGTTTCAACGTTCTCCAACGTTCGCACCAATACATGCCACAATCATACTTGCTTGAGGAGTCGCCTCGAACACATTTAGTTCACAACAATTAGGTTACAATCATCACCACATTGATGCACCAATGGCATACGGTCTGTCAATATATCATGTCATGGAAGCAATTTCAGGATTGGATCCCACAAACATACCATATTAATATACAAATATATAAGATCAAGGGCCCCGATCCATTGCTTGTCGAGTCCCACTATTCATTTTGGCGGTAGAACCAAGTATATCCATCGACCAATCCATTTATTGCTTGATTTATTTGAATCTTAAAGTTTTGACTTATAATCTAACAATTTAAGTCGTATCTTTGTTGAATCTTAAAGTTTCAAACTCTTAATCTAACAATTTAAGTCATATCTTTATAGAAAATTTAATATCATTGGAAAAAAGGTTTGAAACGTGCCGCAAAGCTACTTAAAGCCCGAAAAAGATATATGCCGCTATCCCTTCCTAATTTAGATTATTTTTTATGAAATTAAACTAAACTTTCATTTAGTTCTAAATTAAAAACCCTAATCAATGTTTTTCCTACTTTTCAAGTATTTTCAAGGTTTTTTGGAGATTTTTTGTTGCCATCACCATGTCCTGTTGTACCGACACACAACACGCCAATACAAGGCGGTATGTGTCGTACATTCGTCGGTAGGCACGAGAAGTTGAACCTTGGTCTAAAACACTTTAAACTTATATATTTGTACCCACATATAATTGTGATATTTATCCATGTACTGTTTCCATTTTTGGAGGATTTTAAAAGAATTAAAATTTTGAATTTTATAGAAATTTTTTTTTTGGAAGAAGAGGAAGAGGGGGAGCGGAGGGAGGGAGGCGGGGGAGAGAGAGAGAGGAGGATGCAGCGGAGGATGAGGAGAAGGAAGAGGAGAGTGAGGAGGCCAAGGTGGGTGAGGACGGGTGGAGGTGGAGGCGAAGGAGGATAAGGGTAATTTGGGGTGCACATATATAGATTAAATCAATTCAATTATTAAGAACGCACCAAACCGGTTTAACAAAAAAGAACCAAATCATGAATTCTAAGTTGGACCCGATGTCATTTATCCTAAATAGTGAGGATATTTCCATCCAAATAGGAAAATAAGGATGCCTTCAAGTAAAAAAGTTTTTGTGGCGTCATCTGGTAAAAAGCCAATAGTGGAAACTTTTCTAGTAAATTATCCTTCCTTTTCTACTTTTCTTTTCTCTCCTTATTTTCTCTTTTATTTCCTTTATGTTTTTCTTCCCTTGGTTGCCCACAAACTTTGGTTGGATGACAGCAATGCATGTTTGTTTTTTTTTTTTTTCTCTTCAAGCATGCCCATGACCCCCTCTTTTTACTTTTTTTTTTCCTTCTTTCCCATACTAATATGCTGCATGGATGTTGCGAGTGTTGACAGCAAGCCATGGCCTCAGCTTGCTGCAACAATTTGGTTTTTTTTTTCCATTGGTCTAGATTGCCACCGCAAGCCACTCATATGTTGCATGTTTAGCTCGCTACGAAAGATCCTTTCTCTCCTTTTTTTATTTTTCAATCTATCATACACTAAAAAATCTGATCAAGATCTTATAAACAAATATCTTTATGACATCATTCAAAATTCAAACCAGACATAATATAAATTTCTCAAAGTATTCTAAATCATGATTTATGAATATATCTAGATCCAGGATGTTCATCAAATCATGGATCCATAAAAAATATTCATGGATCAACTCATATATTTCTATGATAGGCTTATGACCTACATGCTCTGATGATTAATAAAAAACTTTTTATAGAATATGATCTTATCCTCCCTGCAAAGCTGTTCTCGGGTTTCTAATACAAATCCATCAACTAGTGGATTCCTCTTTTAAGGCTTAGAGATAGCTCACACAATGATATTTTGATGTAGGACGAGTAGCAATGGATTTCCTTTTGATGATAGAGAGGTAGAGAGAGAAAAAAGAAAAGAGATAATAATAGAAAAATAATTATAAAAAAAGGATAACAATCGGACTTGCTTTGGCTCAAGGAGCAAAACTCCTAGGATGAAGGCCTCGCACCTCCGCACGTCTCACAATTGGACGATGAAATCATACCAAAGGAAAGATAATTGTGATCTCACACTACTAACACATAAGGTGGGGAAAAAGCATGATTCATTGATTTATCTCTCATTGATGCATTATAATATTCTAGTCCCTTTTTACAGGCCAAGTACAAGAAAAAGAAAAAGAGAATATTACATCACATCAAATATATGATTTGATTTTCCCTTCGAAAAAATAACATTCTTGATTAATATACTTTCATCCTCGTAGATATTAATTTTCATAAAATCTTCCATCAGGATTTGGAATCTTCAGTCACAATCATAATATGACTTTTTTCAAATTCTTCTCACATTTTCTTCTTCCTTGTGTAAACTAGGTTACTAGATCAAAATTATTCAGTATGCTGCCATGTGGCAACTTATGATATGCAAAAATAACCTCTAAAGTAATCAAATTTATTTAAATAAGAGACAGATAAGATTGGTTCCGTGTTATATTTATAGATTATACTACTTAAGAAACCCTAGAATTCCTTCTTGCAAGAAATCTTAGGATTCTGATTTTTACAAATAAGCCCTTCATAAAATATAATTATATGCAAGGTATGCAATTTCGAATAATATCGTTTGGTACAGGCGGTATGTACTGGTCCGTCAGCTTATTGGTACACGGACCGCCGATTACCGGACGGAACGAAATATATATATATATATATGTATTTATATATATATATATATATGTATATGTATATATATGTATATGTATATATATATATATGTATATGTATATATATGTATATATATATATACATATATATATGTATATATGTATATATATACCGAGCGATATACCGAACGGTATACCGCTCGGTATACAATTTCGTACTATACCGAACGAACATCGAAACTCCGGTACGGTACGAAATTGCATACCTTGATTATATGTACATCCTTAAGTAGAATATGGGGACACATATTAACTAAAATGATATAACAGGAACCAAAAACTCAAATTGCAGCATGCGAGAAACTCACCCTTTTTGAGCAGACAGGAGAATACAAGTTCATTCCAAGCATCTGGGACTCCAGGGAGACACCAATGGCTGCAATCGACAATAGTAGAAGGGTGGCTCCAAGTGCCAATATGGGCATCACTCCTAAAAGCCCCCATTGAAGTTACATTAAGAACAGCGATAGGGACTGTCATCCTTTCTACTACCTCAGCTATGATATCTGCAAACTCACTTTTGTCATTCACTTCAGCCTCAGACAAAGGCTGCTGTGTTACTTCACAGACCTTCTCGTTTGAGCCACTGTAACACCAAATGTGCAGATTTTAAATTGTAAATTTTGAGAACAATACAAGGAAAATCAATGATGCACCTTTAAATGTACATTTAAATATAGAAAACGCGATTGACACGATGGGACATAGTATCCAGTAGCATTGTCAAAAAGAAGGAAATGTGGTTCATGTCAAGTTTGAGGAATGAACACCAGAAGAAATGATTACTTTCAACTGGTTGAACTCCATTGCAGTAATTCCTTTAAATCTTAGATGGACATAAAAAGTACCGAGAACCATGGGTAACAACCTACTGGTTTACAAAGCCATGGTTGTCTTCCTACTCTTTATAGAAAACTGTGGCCACGATTTCAGGGATTTATGAAAACTTGTGCACTAGATACAACCAACAATTGCATGCTTTATGGAGGTTGAATTCTGATTGAGGAGTGAAATAAAAACCAACAAATATATTTCAAGAGTGAAGGGGAACTCAAACGCATTCTGATCTCCACAAAAACAGTAGCACAAGTTCAATGGGGCAAATGTCTTGGGCAGAAAAGTAGCTTTGCCAACACCAAATGTTAAACCAGAAGGACCAAGGATAACCAAGATGAATTAGTACAGAATAATATCATATATCTAGGATGCCTGAATTTACTTCCACGTTTAGGTAACTTAGTTGCAACATGGGCCCCAGATGGATATATGAGTTTGATCTGATAAGCAGACAGCAAGAATGGAACATAAGTTTTTGCTTACAGCAACGGCATGAATTATTTTATACCAAAATCATACATGTACAATGAAGATAAACAATGATAATGCTAAAATTGCATATCTAGACTTCTTTCAAAACTTTATAATGAAGTATGACTATATTTTTCAACATTCAATATTGCTCATCTAAAAATATGCATACACCAACAATTATTTTGAACCCATGCTTTATGGGCTCAGCCAATTTGGTAGTTTTGGTAAGATCTAATCATGAATACCAATTCTTTTTCTTTCTCCTTCTTTTATCTATTTGAGGTCTGCCAAATCAGCCATGATCCTCAAGAAATCAGCTGTAAGACAGTCAAGTTTTGTTAATACTAGACAAGTCTGATAGGTTATAACAGAATCCAAAATCAAGGATTATTGTTCTACAACACATGGCATGTTAGCACCTTTATGGGACATTACAATTCTGTGTCATCTAGGTAAGAAGACACTATTGCAACCAGCACAAGACAAATGCTATCCTAGCCATACGTTGGCAACCTCCAACACGAATTGGCATGATGCAAGCTAGGACCTTGCTAGTGTTGTGTTTGCCAATATGTTTCTGTATGGTACATTTTGATTGTGCCAGCATATTCCAATTGGCCAAGATATCTCTTAACTGAAGGTTTATTACTTTTTTTTTTTCTTAAAAAACAACATGTTGTCATTTTGAGAGTGGCCAAACCATGATCTGACCGATGTGAGCCAACCTATATTTAAGTAATATAATCAACCAGAATTTGTATGTGAACTTGCTCAAAAGCTACCTATATGTCTTTTCAGCATGACTTCAAGTATGACACTACTACTATTTGCTACAATATCTACAATCAAATGTTTTACATTACTTTTTAGATGGTAGAGCATGACGACAATTCAAAAAAAAGAAACGTCAATGAAATCATTACCGAATGAATAAGCACACCCCAACTCTAAATTTCAGCGAGGATAAGCTACAATTGCCAATATGGAATTGCACCAATCTATTAACAACTAATATACCTTATGTTGTCAAACTTACCATGCTTATGCATGGATGAACTCACTAATTGAAAATATTTATCTTCTTTGTTAGATTAGTAATAATCAAGGTATCTAGAAGACTAGAACTGTCATGGCAGATAGATGAAAAATAACACTCGATCCCAAGATTATTATGTTTTAATACTTAATCTCAGGATTAATATGGTTTATTTCAGTGAAGCATTCATATCTGGGCAGTGACTTGTTCAAACCGATTAAAACGGTTGCCATGTGAACAAAAAATCTTTCAAAGGACAACTTTTCTTGGGAATGTAAGATTTTGATAATCTATGTCAAGCTAAAAAAATCTAATATCATATTTATGGATCAAATCAAGATTCTATTAGCTTCAAAAAAAATATTATCCTGAAATTCACTATAACTTAAAGAACTTACTACAAAGAATATATAGTTTAAATTATACTGTCCCAAATCAAGCTAGTAAAAATTTTTGCTATTGTGATTCACGTAATTGATTAAAAGCCTTATCTTGAATTCAGAAGTATGTGCCCTAATTCCATCATAGGCGTTGGAGGGACAGTATGGGCTACCATATGGCATCCATGCAATGCATATGGTGTTGAGCTTGAGATCTTGGATGCAGACCTTTGATCATTATCCCCATCCACACGTATCAACTCTTGGTTGGCTGAATCCAACACCTATTTAAAATTCCCTTAGAGTAACCATGACCATATAAAGGATAGAATGTGACCTTTGAATCTCTCTATTTTCCTCTCCTTCTTTAACTTGTTTATTATATTTTGACCATCTGCTAAATTGACCATTGAAGGGAACTTTGCTGAAGAAAATTCTGATGCCCTGCTGGTCTTCTTATAGACCACAAAATCAGCAAGGAACTCACATTAGCACATGGGAATCACAAAATAAAACCTAGGTTTCCACCCTAGCCTCCAGCTTGGTAATCACCAGAAAACTATTCACAACATTTTATATATAAATACTTACATGCATGGCTAAAATTTTTATGAATAAAATTTTGTTTCTTTATGATCAATGACCTTAGTCATCTTCCTTTTCTCTATGACAAGCATTTTTTTAGCTTTTAACTAATTTCACAGTTTTTGGCCCTCGTCTTTTCAACTTATCTCAAACCTGTAGCTGCTGTTTGGATTAATACCTCTCTAAATTTGTGACAAATTTAATATAAGATTAAAGTGTAGTTTGTACTGTCATACTTGTCTGTCTTGTGTCAATTTACTGACAAACAAAGAGGACATCGTTGTAGCTAATGGTTCCCTTTGTCAAGTGTCTTTGACTAAGACAACTCTAGAGATGATTTGGGATGGATCGCAAGGTGTACCACAAGGTGAATTCCAAAGCCGAAAGGATTTCTACATCAATTTAAAGAGGTCATGAGCTTTACTTTATCAAACTCAGAACATTCTACTCAAACTATGATTATAAGCTAAAACAAGAAAAGGTAGATTTTTTCCCATTTCAAGGCATGAGGAGGACCCATAGAAAGAGTAGGCTTGGCCTAGTCAGTCCTACTCTCATTTGGAAATAGGTTGATCAAACCTACACTCGATGTCATTGGCCTATTAAGCTTTCAAAAAAGGGTTATCAGCCAAGGAGGAATGAGAGGATTGATCTTAGTAGCACTAGGACTTAGGTACTTCGTTTTCAATGGAGGACGATCATTATAGATATTTTTTGTTATAATCTTTTGATTTATATCTCTAGCTGTACTGAACTTTTAAATAATTAAATTTAGGTAAGAAAAGATTCTTATATTATTATTTGCCAAGAGTCAAACTTTAATTAATTGGTAGGTGACAAAATAAGATCCAATTACAATAAAAAGAGCCCGAGAATTCAAGTTATTGTTACTAGTATTGATTGAGAAAAAAATTATTTTTGCTGTTATATGGATTAAATTAATGATCATGTATTGAATGATGCACTGTCATCCACCAGTACCCCTATATTATTCTCTTTCATGTTGCTTTTGTCTCATTAGACTAGGACTCTTTCCTCGCCCCTACTCCAAGATTATCATGATTCTCTTGGTAATATGTATCTTCTTTATCTTCATTATGAATTTGTTGCTTGTTGTTTTTCTAATAGAATACTGCCTCACTAGAACCACGATGATAATTCTTAACATTATATTTTCTTATTTAATTATATCTCTAACTTGAACTTGGAATATTTTTAGATCTACTTGTCAAAATAAAATTATGCCAGATTCAATCTGATTAAATTACACTTGAAGATGCTAAAAAGCTCTCAATTTAACATCTCTAACCATCAAACCTATTCAAGATTGTCCTTTCTTACTTTCTGTGAGCAATATATCAAATTCCACTAGAGGCCCCAATTGCATTCTGTGAAGTACATAAATTTTCCTGAAGGAAATTTCCAAAAAGAAAGTGACTGTTCATGTCTACAGAATAACATACGAATATAGGAGGGAATATGAAGTAGAAATGGTTAACTAATTCAGCAAGAAAAATAAAAGTCCACGTATTTCACAAACTCCATCTGACCAGTAACCTATATCAAACAAAACTTGAAAATATACTATTATAGGTACTTGCTCATGCAAAATGCTGAAATTAAAAATTACCAAAGGAAATCATTTCTAGTTCATTAGGAAATGCAGCCAAGCCAGCTATTAGGCTCGACTACTTAATCAAATGAGGCATAAATAGATACCTCCAATGGGAGGGCTCATAAGTCCGAAAGAAGACATGAGTTCTATTTGTGTCAACCATTGTCTCGACCCAAGAAGCCCAGGTGTTTAAAGCAACTCTAAATGCAGAATTGATGGACATTCCAAGCTTCAGGGTTCCACCAATCTGGAAATAGCAACCCCTGAGAAAAAGACCATTCAAAATCCAGTATTAACACAAGAAAAGGACAGAAGATTTGTTCTAAATGCCAATATGCATTAACTGTATAATGATATTACTTGAACTCAAAGCGCATAGTGAGTAGAGATTGCACATAAAAATTCCCTTTGAAGTCCAAATTACTCTGCACCATTTAAGGCCACCAAAATTCCAGCATATGGAAGGAGTTAATTTTGCTAAACTATGATGACAATGAATTTATGAAAGCTATAAGATGGAGATGACAGAGATATCATAGACATTCTTCGACTTTCATTGTTAAAAAGCTTTAATGTTGTTCTGAATACAACACTAATTTACATGTCTAATACAACTATAACTTATGGACATGAAGGGAAAATTTAAATGATTTACATGTCAAAGAGTTTGCTTGAAGTCCACCAATGACCAGAGTTGAATATAAGTACATCTGAATCAACCCACTTCCTGCTTATGTCATCCATCTTGTCCAGCTGTAGTGCTGTCCGAACCCGTTTTGGCCCATGTCTAGGTGGCAAGCCTTGCTGTACAAGAAACACCGAGCGGAAAAACTCTATGCTCAAATTGAACGATTGGAACTGGACACCTAAGAAGCGAATCGTTTTCGAGATCTGATTACTATTGACTTCATAAACAGTCTTGGGATCCTGCACTCCAGTCATGAGCATGCATATTAGAGACTCCCACTGTGTGCGACTCATTGAATCACCCACAAAGACTACCCTTTTCCCTCTCAGCCTTTCCAAGATGTCATGCACATTGAATTTAGGTACATTACATTGCCGTGGCTGCCACCTCCACTTAAGATAGTCAATATCCTTCCTCCCATTTGCCAAGCAGTTAAACCCCCTTTCAGCAAATGGACATTCCGAACTATTGTACAGAGGGTACGAACTATCCGGCACCCAACGACCATCAAAGACATTACAAACATTAGCGTCACCAATTAATCCAGCAACAGAATTCTCACTGTCAAAGTATTGGAGAACATAGAGATAGGCGATACATCCAACGACGAGAACGAGAGAGGCCAGACAGAAGGCTACTACGAGATCACTGATTGAAGGTCTCGGCGCCACCCACGACTTCCTGCGAACAGAAACCCTAGGTCTGCTAGCAATTCTAGGGGTCAATCGAACCGACATCCTCCTACTAAAACTACCACTCTCCATTTCATGCACCGGTAATTTAAGTCAAAGAATTCCTCCTGCGAAAAACCATCCCACCTTTCAGCAGCATATCAAGACGAACCTCAGGAAGTAAGATATCCGTCAGTCCCATCCAAGATCAGCAAAACGGCAACCAAATTACAAGCGATTGATGCCAAACCAATATCCAGGAGCAACAAAGAAGAAAGATGATATTTTTCTCATTTAAAAGCTTCAAACTTGATCTTGGCCGACAAAAGAAGTACGAATTTGGATCAAAGAATAAGACCTCCACTAGATCGCAAAACTCACAGGTGCAAATCGAGCCAGAGACGGGATTCAAACCAGATTCTTGTTTACTCCCAAAGTTCACTCCCTTCATTAAAAGCCCTAATTCCAGCTCGAGATCTCCTTCCGACGGCTTCTTTCGTGCGGAGGAGTACTTAATAGGTCGACGATCTGCGAGAGGTGGCGGGTCGTTGGAGGAGGTGGGAGATTAAATAGCTGCCGACCAAGTGCGCGTTACAGTAATTGTGTGTTTAACATGTAAGGTTGTGAATTAATTGTACTACGCCATTCTTTGAAGTGACATATATATATATTTAACGTAAATCGATTTATATATCGTATTCAGTCACAATCATCGTTTCATCTCTGATTCCCATGCTTAGGGGTTTAGGATTTCGATTACCAACAGGAAGCATCGAGATCTAGTGACACCATTGAGTTCCAATGCATCTAACTATCAAGTTCCAGCACCTCTTATCGTCGACTTCTAGTATTGCTGTCGCTAAATTCGATATTCTCATCGTTGACTTCCAACATTGTCGCCATCAAGTTACAACAATGTCGCCATCGTCGACTTTTAGGGTCAAACCAAACATAGTATATTTTAAAAAGATTAAATGTTAAATGTTAGAAAACATTGTATGGATCCATCATAATTCAGTGGAAATAGAAAAAAAAATATGAAGAAAATAAGAAACTGATACACTATTCAAATGTAAAAAAATTCAGAAAAAATACCTTATAGATTCTCTAAATTAGAAAAATTAATATAGAACGTCAAACCAAAAATAGTGTATTTTACATGAGGACTGATCCAAATCATTTAAATTTTTTATAAAAGCTTTGAATTATACCTAGATGGACGTAAGTCACTGTTTTCTAATTTACAAAATTTTTATTTTTAAAATTTTTAGAATTTGAATAGTGTGCCATTTTCTTATTTTCTCCTTTTTTTTGTTTTCACCTTATTAAGATTGATTCATGCAATGTTTTTTTTTTATATTTGACCTTCTAAGTAAGTTGACAACCCATGGTAAAAATTTTATACAGAAAATAAAAGTCATGATATACGATCTAAATCATATGAAACTTTCATAAAATATTGCATTTCTATCTTAAATTTTCTAATATAGAAACTTCTTAGATATTCTTATGAATATTTTAGCATCTTTATTTTTAAAAACTTATATTCCATTTTTTTATTAATATAAATAGATGTTCTTGATTAAACTAAAGTACTATTGATTGAAATACCCGACTGAAAAATATTAAAAAGTATGTTTGGAGGCATAATCAATATAAAAACTTTAAGTCTTCAAATTCTTTATGAATTTCAAAACTCTTATGATAAACGATTATGAATCTATTATTATTGTTTTTTTTTAAGTATCTTCTATTATGAATCATATGAGATCTTATGCTAAAAACTTAAACCATCAAACTATAGTAGAAAAGGTTTTACAAAATTTATCTTCAAAATTTAATATGATTTTTATGACTATAGAAGAAGGTAAAGATATAAGTACATTATCTATTGATGAAATAATGAGCTTCCTCTTAGTTCATGAACAAAAACTAAACGGATCTTCAGATACAACTTTGTCTTCAAATAAAGATAGATTAAAGAAGGATTAAAAAAAAAATCAAAAACTAAATAAAAAAAAGAGATCAAAATGACAAAGGACGAGACCGATCAAATGAGGATTAGAGAAACCGAAATGAATATAACAAAGAAACTCATCAATATTTTTTTTACAAAAAAATTGGACATATTGAAAAAGAAATAAAAATCTATTTATTTTTTAGTGTAACGAGATATCTTTTAGATAAATTGTGAGAAAAAAAGTGAAAAAACAAGGAAAATAAGGAAAGAGGAAAAAAAAAAAAGGGAGGATCAGATAGAGACATAAGAAAATATCATGTAACAAAGAATGATTATATTTATTCAGTAAATTATCTTCTTTTTTTTTCAATCCAAAATGGAACGACCTACGGTACAGACTCGCGGAGTTTCATGCGCAAAGGTACACCCAATCACGTTGTCCCTCCCATTGAACTGTAATCATTACATATAATGTATATGTATTATATACAAATATCAGCTAAAGATTAATAAGATTGCTGCAAAACTATCCTTCAAAAAACATGGCATTAGCAGAACAATGCAACATAGCTAACAAAGACGAGTACCAAAAAGCTCAGACAATGGAACAAGAATCGCCTTGTATATTTATACAAGGATATACCCTGCAACAAACAGCAACAACACTTTCTAACCTACAGATATTCTGAAACAACATCTTTGCCATTTAGTTGATGGCCGTAGGAGTTATGCGCTTCTTGGTAGATTTATTTGTATCCGAGTTCATGGTGACGGTCGATATTGGCAGTCTCCCTTCCTTGATCTTTGTAACTGTTTCACTGTTAACTTTAGCAGCATTCTTCTTGTCAATTTCCATGTGGTCTGTCACCTCAGTTTCCACATTGGACAAATCGGCCTTCCCTTCTGAGGCCTTAGATGCTTCTACACAATTGCGATGATATTTCATCATGAAAAACCATGAGCAGAGATATAGATTTCTATAGTAATCATAATTAAGATCCACATAATATAAGCCTGGGTTCAGGTCCATCTTCTGCACAAGTTCAATGACAAAAGGAAAGCTGCAAAATATGCAAACTAACATGGCTTTATCACCAGTTAGAGTTGGTAAGTCCTTCAAAAACAAACCTATCCAACCCGTCAATCAGCTATTATGAATCCCATTTCTAGATGCATCAGAAAAGAAAAATGTTAACGCCCATTCACCATGGTTGTCATGAGATTGCATATGCTTTTCAAAGAGGATTCGAGTACCCACTGATCAGGTGTGCTGACCGGTCACCCAAATGGCACATGCCAGAATGGTTTGTTCGAAGTTACTCGCACAAAAAATAAGCAATTATCACAATGAAACCTTGTAATGAGAGGAAATTTCAAAGGCGTTCCCGTTCTCACTAAAGTTGCCAACGTCAGAAATGGAGAACCAGTTAAACATTTTATATTAAATAAAACCATGCATATAATAGTGTAGCAGAAGATATTAATTCTAGTCAAGTGCAGTTTGCACGTTAAAATGAAGCATTAGCCAACAAAGAAACTATTAATTGACATACCTGAGGGAGAAATAGGTTCTCCGAGTTCATGGTCCTCGAATTCTATAATTGTACAGTATCCATCTCGTGAGGACAATGACAAATACTTTGCATCAGACGACCTTGCAAATAAAGTATTTTGATAAGGAACTGGAGAACCACAAGAGTTCTTGAAAGTAACACTAAAAAATAGATGATTCTAGGGATTTCTAATCCCAAGAAAGTTTGCTAAATATAAAGAACATTTAAATGACACCAACCATGAAATATCTGTAATGGCTGCATAGTGTAGTCCAGCAAATATCGCAATTGGAGGCAAGCTTTCAGTGTCATAAATGTACAGAGAGTTCAAGGTTGCCAGAGCAAAAATAACCCTATATGGAAGTTTAAAGAAACCAGCTGCAGATACTGAAAGCAAATTAGGCCCTGATATGATTTTGTACAACAGCATATTAGCTACACAAGACACCAACCTGAATTAGAACCTCGTAGAGCAAAAAGAACAGGGCAGAATCTCACAGCAACTATTGGTTTGTTAGCCCCTGGGAGTTGCACAGCAGGTCTGCAAAACCAAAGTGGTTGTCGCAACTAGAGAAACATCTACTTCAACTTCAAAAGTTCTTTTAATCACAACATTTTTACAATGTAACCATGAAAGTAAGAACATGGAGCTACAATACCAGGGTAATTTAGAATTAAATGGACTATCAAGGATGTAGGTACATATTGATTTTCTATGAATACAAATTTCACATGTTTTTTTACATTTTTAAAAATTTGAGAAGTGCAGCTTAACCATATCAGTTGCAGAATGCTTTGGTTGGAGCAGTAGGCACAGTTCTATTTAAGTATCCATAATGACAGTCGTCAGGATTGATATAATCTTCCAAAAAATTTAGCTATCGTACCTTGAAAGATCTCTCCTTGAGAGAATATATGCAGTATTGACAGTTTCGGATGAAAACGGATATCTATATGTACCTATATATGAAAAAATAACCAGCAATAGTCAGAAAATGTTGCACAGAAATGGTGGATTTTTTAGATTTTTCATGACCAATCAGTAACCAAAGGAAAAATAAATAAATGAAAAAAGAAAACAATAAAATGCCCAAACAATCCTTGAGAAAATATATGCAGTATTGACAGTTTCAGATGAACATGAATATTTATATGTACCTAAATATGAAAAAATAACAGCAATAATCAGAAAATTTTGCACAGAACTGGTGGATTTGTTGTATTTTCCATGATCAATCAGTAACCAAAGGAAAAATAGAAATGGAAAAAGAAAAGAATAAATTACCCAAACAATGCACCGTTAATCCCATACTCTAGCTAGAGAGAGTTCAAAAAACCAAGCAAAGAGTAAAAGCATACATAGCACAAGGACATGCTAGACACTTGAAACATTCACAAAATGGAGAAACTAAATATAAACTGGAGACATCTCAACCTAAAAGCTTCAAAATATATAAGAATATTGATAAAATAACTGAACTTTAGGGTTTCCGTAAAAAATTACTACAGGAATATTTACATTGTTAGGTATCATGTTTTACTTATTGCAAATTACAGCATGCACATTACATCTCAAACAGGTATTGTCTTACAACTTGCATGCACCAAATAGAAAGTATTATGTGATTTTATTTACTATAAAAGTAGCCATTGCTACAATCAAACTTTCAAATTAGTTTAATTTTATAACAAACATGATCATATTCCTTGATGAAAATTGCAATTCTGTGTGCAACAATAGAAGAAAGAAAAAAAGCCTATAAGAAAAGATGCAAAAAGGACTGGAAAAAAAAAACAAAAACAATTGTCAAACTTAAAAGATTTAACTTTATATAGATTTATGTCTAATTTCATTTATTATGAGATACAATCAGCAGAATTGAACCCCAGATAGCCTACCCACAAGGTGAGTCTTGGTATAACAGTTGTTTCTTTGCAATCGGGTGACCGGCAATTGAGTCATGGAATATTGTAATGCCTCAAATTGAACCCTCGTATCCTGCATTGCAGGGAAGCTCGACAGTAAATCTTCCTTTTTTATC